CTTCGAGGTAGGCTCAGCCATCTGTCTTGGATAGGCTTGGTTGCAAGTTCAGGCTCTGTCGCCGACCGGCTGGAAAGGGGGATATATTACATAACATGATCTACTTCATAGAGTCGTTATGAAGGTGTCAAGCATTTGCACAGTGCCTGGCACGTTGTAGGTGCCCAATGAATTAATATCACAAATAATAATAACATTATCTCTTGGCAAGAGATCTGAAGAAAAGAGAGGAAGCAGTCTCCCACCAGCTTTGCTCTTTTACAAGCCCTCCCCCTAACGGGGTTCCTAGTGTTAAGGGGTTCAAATCATACCTCTGTGTCTTTGGGCAAATGACAACTCCTTTCTGCTTCTGTTTCTTCACTTGTAGAGTAGAAATTATTCCCAGCTCATAGAGTTGTGCAAATTAAATAAATTAATATCCAGAAAACCCTCAGATTAGGGTTTGGCGCGGGGTAAGCGCTCCATAAGATCTCTAAGGCAGTCATTCTTTTTGGCCCCTTTCTCCCCAGCACGTAGTGTTCTTTCTGCACCCCATCGCCCGGCTCGTGCCCAATGTGCCAGGCCTGGCTACCAAGATAAAGCGCTAGCGCTACCTGGCCAAGTAGGCACTGGCGGACAACCAGAGGCGCTGCTTTCGGTCAGCAAGGCAGGCGGACCCCGTCGGACCCCGGCCCCACCCGCACCATAATGACCACGCCCCTTGGCCGGTCCTCAGGCCGTAGCTCAGTCCTCTCTAGTCCCGCCCCCTTATTTGGCCTCGCCCATTGGAGGCATTGGCTGAATTCCTGTAGTTTCCGCCTGTTCCCGCCCATCATTAAGCTCCGCCCCCGCAACGCCCCCTTTTTTACCATATCCGCACACTGGGGTTGGGGGTCTCTGCTCTAGAGCGCCAGCCTGACCAAGCTGTGCTCTCTGTTCGCTGCAGCAGGAGCGCTGTCCCCGAAGTCCAGGACTTTGGCGAGTGAGGCAGGGTTGCCCTTCCAGGACAGGGCCCTAGGTTCCCCAGAATTCTCCTCCTATTGGGGTCCCCTGGCTTCCGGTTACGCATCTGTGCAGTGTCCCAAGGCCGGCCTGGGAGCTGGGATGAGAGAATTGGAGTTCCCTGGAGACCTCCTGTCCTGCATTGCTCCACTTCCGTGTTCCTTGTCTCCTGGCCTCTGTGTGAAGCTGACAATAAACCTGTCTCTGAGCCCCAGCCTACCACCTCTCCACGACCACCTGGTCCCCACCCACACGGTGCAGTGTCTCCTTACTATGTGGCGATGCTGTAGGGAGCCGAAGTGAACATGGGGGAGCAGAGGGACTCTAATCAATCTGAATTTAATGGCCATCGGTTGGCAGCTAAGGAAAATACTTTGGGGCCGGGCGCGGTGGCTCACGCCTGTAATTCTAGCCCTTTGGGAGGCCAAGGCGGGTGGAACAACTGAGGTCGGGAGTTCGAGACCAGCCTGACCAGCACGGAGAAACCCCATCATATACAAAACTAGCCAGGCATGGTGACACATGCCTGTAATACCAGCTACTTGGGTGGCTAAGGCAGAATTGCTTGAACCCGGGAGGCGGAGGTTGCTGTGAGCCAAGATCACGCTGTTGCACTCCAGCCTGGACAGCAAGAGCGAAACTCCGTCTTACCGGCCATGAAACCCCTGCTGTGCTGCTGTGTATGCTTTCCAAGCCTGCAGTGTATGAATAACAGTAAGAGTTTAGTTAGCTTAGCCAAGACACGCCCCAAGTAGACTTTCACACGCTTTTCACCATGAGACCCTCCTAAAAGCCTGATGAGGCAGTACCAGGCAGTGGTGAAGGATTCAGGTGGGTGGTGGTGTCAGACAGACCTGGGCTTCTTTTCTTCTCTTTTTTTTTTGAGACGGAGTCTGGCTCTGTCTCGAAGGCTGGAGTGCAATGCCACGATCGCAGCTCACTGCATCCTCTGCCTCCCTACCTCTCAGGTTCAAGGGATTCTCTTACCTCAGTCTCCCCAGTAGCTGGGATTACAGGTGCATGCCACCACGTACAGCTATTTTTTTGTATTTTGGTAAGATACAGGGTTTCACC